GGGGGGGGGGCGGGCAGGAAGGGCGGAAGCGCCGCCGTCATTCCCGCCCAATGCGCATGCGTAAAAGGCGGGGCGGTGGCGGGCGCTGCGCACGCGCAGTGTGGCGGCCGCCAGGTTTGAACGGCGAGACGGTTGGAGAGGCGGGAGGAGCGTGAGGGGGGTCAGTGCCGGGGGGACAATGCCCGGGGCAACGGGGGGGCAGTGCCGGAGGGAGGGGCAGTGGCCGTGCCAGCGGTGGTCAGTGCCCAGGGCAGCGGGAGGGGCCGTGGCCGGGGCTGGGTCAGGCCGGGCTGGGCTCCCTCCTTCCCCTCGGAGGATGCTCCGGGAGGCCCGAGTGTCCCGGGGGAGTCGCGGTGGTGGCTGAGGGAGGGGCGATGGTGCAGGTGGGGAGGAGGGCGAGGGGTGTTTTCCAACCCTAGCTGCTCGGTAGAAAGGCTGCAGAAGAATCCAATGTTTGCGAAATAGAAAGGTAAGTGTTATTATGATCCTTTAAAATCTGTACACAACCCTGCAGGGGATCGTGGCTTGTTGACTGATGACACTGGCATGCACAATACAAGTAAGGAAAATAAAAATGCACAAAATAAACTGAGGAGAAAACTGTTGGTTGTGTTATTCCATCTTTCTGGTTATGTTGATTTTTTGGCTCACAATGCTATCTAAAATTTTATCGGGTCATTTTTAAATTGAAAGGAGCTTGTGTTAATTTTTTGCCTTGTGAATTTTTTTCTTCCTTTTTCTAATGTAAGAAAGAATAAAGTTTTGATACACTGTTGTCTGTGCATCTTCTGAGTATATTGTCTGACCTGCTGGAGGGCAGTCAGCTCTAAATTATTTCTGCTGCATTCAATCTAGTGTTTTGCAGGATGCCTCTAAAATCTCTTTGTCAGGAAAATAAATGTTTCTTTTCTTGCAGGGAACCAGGTCTCTGATGTTCTTCAGCTGTTGGAGGTTGATCTCTTTTCTTGCCTAGTGAAGGACTGGATCTCGTGACAAATGAGGAAAATTCTCCAGTCTCAGCTGGGAGACAGAAAAGATGAAGAAAATATGGAGTTCTAGGACCCCAAAGCGGCCTCTGGAGGTTGACCATAAAATCCAAACTGATCTCTCTGCGTGGCGGAAAAGAGGGAAAAGTGACCCTGAAAAAAGTTCCCAGAATCATCAGTCTCCTGGAGGTCAGAAAAATGACATCAATCAGAAAAACGATGTTGGTGGGAAAAACGACAGCCAGGAAGTCTCTCTGGAGAAAGCTTTGAGCTACTTTGAGAAAGGTAAGAGCACTTTTAAGGTTGGCTCTCTAAGACTGAAAACATAATAATTACATTCTTCATAAAAAGAGTGATAATAATATAAAAATAATATATTTTACGTCTGGTTTTCCTCTTCAATGCCTGAGCTATGTAATATTTTTTTTAATGTATTAAAAGCTTTCTGTCACTACTATGTAAAAAAAAAAAGGAATATGATAGAATCATGGAATGGTTTGGGTTGGAAGGGACCAAACTCCTGCCATGGGCAGGGACATCTTCCACCATCCCAGGTTGCTCCAAGCCCTGTCCAACCTGGCTTTGGACACTTCCATGGATAGGTCATCCACAGCTTCTCTGGGAAACATGTGCCAGGGCCTCCCCACCCTCACAGTAAACAATTGTTTCCTAATACCTAATCTAAGTCTACTTTCTGTCACTTTGTATCTATTCCCCCTTGTCCTGTCACTACATGCTCTTGTAAAAAGTCCCTCTCCATCTCTCTTAATAAAAAGAATAATTTTAAAATAATCTAATTTTACTTCTGTATTCCCTCCTTAATCCCTGAGCTATGTAAATGTTTCTTTAATGTCTTGAAAGTTCTTCCCCCTCTTATTACTGTGTAAAGAAAAAGGAGTATACGTAGGGGCAGTTCAGAGAAGCTTAAAGTTTGTTTTCATTTCGGAAGTTGTTACATCCCGTGTTTGTCCCGTTTGTTTTCCCTAGTTCAAGGCCAAGGCCGTGTTTCCCTGAGAAACAACAGTGCTCTGCAGAAACACTTGGCTGCTGTGGAAAGCATTGCCCTGCAACAAGGGCTGCCCCCTGAAGGTTTTGAGATACTGTTGAACGTGGTGCTCAGTGGCAAATTTGGTAAAACCTTTATGTGTTGCTGGTGTATCTTCTGTGAATGTCTCCTTCTCCTCCAATCAAACCTGCTTCAGATAATGTGTTTGTGGTGGCTGTATTGTTGGGTACTGTAGTGTAAAATTAATTTTTCTGGCATGCCTTGGTGTAAAAAACTAACCTCAGTTCTTACTCCAGGGGAGTGGTGCCCAGTTAAATATTATGGCTTGTTACAGATTTTGTTTTAAATTTTTTTCCTTTGTTCATAATTGCAGGTTTCTGAAAGGCTTGAATTGTGCCCTCACCAAGCATTGTGTTTTTTCTTTGCTGTAATTGTTTGTGTAGGTTTCGTTTCCCCAAGATCAAAATAACTAAACAAACTGACATAGCTGTGTTAGTGAAAGTTGCTAAAATTAGGTTGTCATCCCCACAGTCAATTCAGCAGTCAGTGCAGCCCTCGTGTTGCTTTCTTAGAAATGTTGTTCACCATTTATACTTCTAAATAATGAAATATTAATTGGAAAAAACCCTAAACTTCTACCTCCCTCCAGCACAAGGGGAGCACACAGAATTCTTTCCCCGTTATGCAAGTAGTTTAGTGATTCTCTTCATTTAAAATGATCAGCTCATCTCCAGATCTGCTGATCTTTGACTTACAGTCCCATACCCTTTTGCTCAAGGCATTGGTTGTTTAATGTTAAGAGAATCTGTGTTACTTTTGGTTGTCTTGCCAGGAGCCTGAAGACTATTTTGATACTAAAATACTC